AGGAATGATGCTTGAAGGCTGCCTTCAGGACTTGGGTTTCTAGGGAAAACAGCCCAAAATGAGATTTATCTGTACACACGATAGCTCTGTTAGTCCAGAGCAGGGATTCAAGGTAAGTCCAGATTGGTTGTGAGCCAGCTGTAAAAACCCAGGGTCTGTTAAACTGTTGGCTGTAATGAACTGGGTTACTGGACAGGGTTATTCTGAAACCAAATATTGTTTTATGCATTGAAATGTGACTTCAGCTGCCCAGGTGAACAGTTTTATGACACTTAGTGTAATCCCCACCCACTTCTAGAGATTTGGGACCTACATTTTTTTTTTTTGAAGCTGAATTCCTCTGGGTTGGATCTTACCTAAAAAGACGATTAATAGTTTTCAGAAGGTGAGAATAAAATCATCTCTTCCAGGGAGACAATTCTTCAGGGATGGAATGAAATTGTATTTGGTCATGAGTCATATTAACTCTGGCATTCCTTGACTTTAGAAGACTTCCTGGGGCAGTTACATGCAGAGATGCTATTAAATAAGTAAAATAAAAGGACTAAGCATGTTATCCGGTTTGGTAGGAAAGATCTAACCCAGGAACAGGGGATCTCTGTAACTGCTACAACTCAAGTGTCGGCGGGAGTTTGAAGCCATTTGTGGGAATCACATACTTCATTGCCTCATGTAACTCTGTTTCTTTTAGCTTTGAGATTTGCTCCTCGTGGTCATGTGCTCCTTGGACCCACATCCCAACTCTAGAGGTTGTTTCTGGCCCCTCCGGACCAAGCGCAGGAACAGTCCTCCCTCCCCTGACTGTACTTTGCAGCTCCTGGGGAAAAACCTCTTTGAGGAGAGGGGGTGGAAGTGAGGTCGGTGGGCTTTGATCCACTTGGCAATGGGGGCCCCTGGCTGGGGATAATTTTGCTACTGTGAAATCTGTGTTCGCAGTGGTTCTTTGTGCTTTGAGAGGAAAGCTGAATCTGTTGCTGGTCGCAAGTTTGTGGACTTCCTCTAAGGGCATGCCGCAAAGTGGTAAGCCCTTGCTACATCTGCTGGAGGGGAAGACCCAGCTCTGTCTGGGGAGGAGCTGCTCAACAGGTTTCTGGGCTTGGGCTGCTCCTCAAGCTGCAGCAGGACAGTGGCTTGTGGTACCTCAGGCTGCCACAATCCCTCCAGGCTGGTGGAGCCCTGCCCCAGGCACCTCCTCTCCTCCACCAAGGGCTTTTGGATCGCGTGTTTCTCTGCTGGGGAGTTTTTCACCCTGACTGTTTCCTTGTAGAGTTGCATTTCCTTGTCCCTCTGGGGAGTTTTGAGGTGGACCTCCTGCAGCTGGTTATTCCAGAGCTGAGCTGGGGCTGGCCATCACAGGTTTGAGGCAGCCAGGCAGGGCAGTACAGGGTCCCCGGTTGTGACCACCTCTCTCCCGCAGGCTCGTGGAGGCGCATGATGACTCTTTTTGATGGCATCTACCCCTTCTACCCGCAGAAGAGGAAGGCTGCTGTGTTTGACGTCAGCATCATCATAGTGATCGTGTTCTTCCTAACGTTGGCTTGCAGCTTCCTGGTCATCATCCCAGGCATCCGAGGACGGGCGGTGTGTGACCCCTCTCCCTGGGCACAGGCATCTGCTTCCCACATTTTGGAAGCTGGGACACTCCCGCCTGGTGCGGGGTGAGGCAGGAGCTGTTCCTCCCTGTCTGATGTCCCACCTCTCTTCCTGCAGAGACTGTACTGGACTCTCCGGGTTCTCCTCAGCCTTGTCGTGGGAGTGGTGATTGTTGGTAAGTGCTGTGCAAGCCCTTGAAGAGTGGATATTGGGGCAGGAGTAAACCCAGGAGCCGGGGCCGTGTCTGGGAAATGCAAGCTGGTGGTCACAGCCATGGCTGGGCTGAGGCTGGTTGCATGGTCTACCTTCTCCTTGCTCTGCAAAGCAGTCATACAGCTTCCCAAAAGAGCTTCTCTGTCCCCAGCATGGGGGCTGAAAGCACCTAAAGGTGCTCATGGTCACTCCTGAAGCAAGAGGGAGCTTTGCTGGCTCTAACTGCACCATGGTGGTTGAACAGTCACAGCTCTGGTGGGCTGCAGAGCCCCATGTTCCTCCAACCACGTGTGTAAGCCAGTGCAGGCAGGACACAGGAACAACCACAAACCCAGAGGTGAAATACAAAGAGTAAATTTATCTTCATTACCTTGCCAACCAGGGGATCTCCAAAGCAGGACCCGGGCAGAGGCAAACATGTGGGAACTCAGGCACCATGGAGCTCGGTCCTTGCTAGAGGACCACCAAACCTGCTGGGTTTACCTGTTGATGAGGGACTCAGGCAGGTGTAGTTTACTGCTGTGCTTGGAGTTTACCATGGCTGAGCAACTCGGACTGTGGCCAGGCATGTTTGGAGGATGAGAGAAGCTTTGCAGTGGTGTGGAGAGAACAAGTCGAAATATAAAACACAGGCAGGGCAGAGGTTGGGGCAAGGAGAAGAGATCTTTCAAGGAGCAGGGCAGGAGGAGACGAAGGAGAAGATTTGATTTAGCAGAAACCAGGAAATCCTCTGTAATAAATGGGACTGGTGGTGGAAACCAGGCTGCGGGAATTCCAACTTAGTGAGGGTGACACATGTACTGAAGGGGTAGAAGGTGCCAGATTGTGAGAACAACGAGCCCTGACCCTAAATCAAACAAACACTCCTGCTGTGAAGGACAGGGTGGACTACAAGAGTGCTTGAAGAGGGATGATAGAGCACAACCTAAATGACGCAGCCCCACAATTGACCAGGCAACAGAAGCTGATAGCCAGGTTGTGACCAGCTGCAGGACTCTGCTGGCTGACACATGGGCCAATTGGGCATGCAGGGATCACACTCCATCTGGAGACTTCCAGGTGCTGGGAGATGCCACCAGAGCTGCCCAGGAACACAGCACCATGCTGGAAATGGCAGAAGGGTGGAGGTCAGGGCTTGCTCCACAGCCAGCCTTAACCATCTCAGCCCTGGAGAGCCATCCAGGGCCGCCCTCATCACAAGGATGCAGCCGGGTGCTGCTTGGGCACACAGAAGGAATTAATTGTTGTAAAGCCAGTGCCAGGGTTTCTGGCTAGCAGCAGCAGGGCACACTCGACCCTGCAGCTAGAAAACATTCCTGCAGAGCTGCTACTGGATCAGTGCCCTCGCAAGTCGATTCAGCAGCTGAATCAGGCAGGTTTTCTCCTTCAGCCTGAGATTAAATCACCACCGTCACTTTCAGCTCATTTCAGTGCTGGAAAATGAAGCTCACTGCAAAGTGGTAGTGTTTCAGAAAAAGATACTTGGGTCCAAAAACCATATAGCAGAAATGCTTCAAATTTTGCTTCCCCCCCCAAGCTGAAATGACTGTCAGAGCTGTGACAACACTTGCCACCCCTCTCCCATCGCCTGCATTCGTCAGTGATCTTCACTATTCATTACCAGTGTGATCTAGGGAGTGTAGTATTTGGAATTAAACTCGCCTCTGTTCCTGAGGCTGAGGAATGGGCTCATTTACAAGCCCTGTTCCTGAGGGCTGTGGTGCTCTCCATGCTGGGAGATCTTGCAGGGAGGACCTGGAGAAGATGTCCAAGGAGCAATCAGGTCATGGGGTTCATCCCTGGGGATCTGAGCTCACCCGCTGCCGGATCAAGGGAGTGGATGCTCAGGAAGGGGAGGACATGAGCTCCACCAAGGCGTGGAAGCTGGTTGAGGCATGTCCTGGTGTCTGAGTCAGCTTTCCTGCCCTTCTTACACTCCCTTGCAGTGCCATGGTGGGAACGCCATGCTTCTGCTTGCCTATGATCCCCCCACCCCCCTTAAGCACAGCAAAGCCTGACTCCAGCACCCCTCTAACCCCAGCTTTGTTTTTCCTGGCAGTTGTCCAGTTCACAGGGGACTGGGAGACCGGCTGGGTGAAGGCAAACACCTTCTACAAGTCCTTCAGCCATGCCCTGGTGAATGTGGATGTGGGGCTGCATGTTGGCCTAGCGGGGGTAAACGTCACACTCGTGGGTAAGTCTGATGCCCCCATCTGCAGCTCTGGAGTAGCCAAACGAGGAGGTCTCCAAGTGCACCATGGTGGTCTTAGTCTGTGTGGAGGCCAGAACACAGCAGGACCTCAGTCTTCTCCCTCCAACAGGAAACCCGGTGAATCAGCTCAACGAGACCATCGACTACAATGAGCACTTTACCTGGAGCTTCAATACAGACTACGACCACAGCTACAGTGAAGGGCTGGAGAAGGGGCTGCCCAGCCCCATCCTCTACGTGGTGGAGAAGTTCACCACGCAAAGCCCCTGCAGTGTACATAGGCAGTACCGCATCTCCGGCCACTACGCATCGGCCGCTCTCTGGTGAGCCTTCCTCTCCCCGGGCAGGCAGGGGAAATGCAAGCATGTGGGAAGGGCTCTGCTGCCTTGTCCCTCGGCCTCCGAGAGGGATGGCGATGGCACGCTGGCAGAAAAAAAAAAAAAGCATGTGCATGGAGCGGCCTCTGTAAGGTCTATGGTCAAACCAGTGGCTGTGTAGGCACCTTGGGGGCAGCAAATAGGAGGTCCTGGTTCTCTCTGCTGATCAGCTCCACCAGGGCTGGGCACAGGAGAGAGGAAGTTGGCGCAAATCCTTGCCGTGGTGCGGTGATGATGGCAGGGGTCCATCTCTATGGAGGGAGTTGGAGCTGCTGTCCTTGGTGGCCCAGGGAGGCCGGTGGGCACGTGCAGAGCTTCCCCATCCCCATCTGTGAAGGAGTAGGACCAGATGAGGAAAAGCTGATGATGCTGTCACCCAGCTCTTCAGCAAAATCCAGAGCTGCTGCAAATGACTTATGCCTGCTTCTGCAGTTGTCCTAGTCCTGTGTGCTGCTCTCTGGGGTCTGCACTGCCCCACCTGTGGAAAGGCAGAGAGCTGAGATGGTCTACATACACTGTGTGGGCTGCTGTGTCCTCCTTGAGGCTGTTACAGCCTGTGGGCTGAGCAGTGGGAAGACGAAATTCAGGCTTTTGCCTTCTGGATGTAACAGCGTGAGCATTGCACATCTGCTTGCTCAACCTGGAAAGCTGGAGATTCCTCCAGCCTGCCTGCAGAGTGTCTTGGCCTCATACAATGCCACCTGGAGCCCAGATTCCTCCTCTAACATGGAGATCCTCACACAGAGCATCCTAGCCTGTGGCACTTGCACAACTCATCTGTTGGTCTTCTCTTGTCTTCAGGGTGGCCTTTTGCACTTGGCTTATCGCCAACATGCTCTTCTCCATGCCTGTCCTAGTCTATGGAGGCTACATGCTCCTGGTCACAGGGGCTTTCATGATCTTTTCATTGCTCTCATTTGCCACCGTGAGGAACTCCCCGATGTGTCCGATCCAGTTTGGGACAGCAGCCCTGCACACAGGCTACGGGGGATCGTTCTGGCTCACACTAGTGATTGGTAAGGACCCCAAGCTACCTCAGGGCACAGCACCCTGTCCCTCTGGGTGTACAAGAGTCCCAGTGCTCCCTCCACCTCCTCCCCCCCCGAAAAGGAGGTGCTTCAGGACCTCAAGCCCACCAGAACTTCAGCCTGTGCCTTGGCTAAGCAGGTCTGGCAGAGAAGTGGAGGGCTGGCAGAAGGGGGAACACCATCCCCATCTCAATGGTGGCAGAGGGATTTTTAGTCCCTGAGGTGATGGGGATCACTTGCCCCCATTTTCTGACCCATGCCTGGATTTTAAGGTGCTCAACACAACAGCTGAAGCCACCTCATACATTAGAAGGCCATCTTCCATACAAGAAGGCTCCGTTGCCCGTCAGGGGGCCATCAGAGAAGGGATGGGGGATGGGAAGTGTACTGGTGTTCACAGGAATGCTCTCAGAAGCTACACTGTCTTCCAGGCTTGCTCTGCCTTGTGGCTGGGATCACTGTTGTTGCACTGCACTACTTCAACATGGATCTACTGAAAACTTTCTTTGATCTCCGTGAGGACCAAGCAGAGGAGTACCAGGAAATTACTCAAGTGTATGTCAACCCTCATTTTGTGAACAAAGGACTGTCTCTTTCTCAGCCCTCCAAACTCAACCTCAACAGCAACTAGAGGAAAGTTTTTCCCACTACTTCTCTGAAGGTGGACCCAAAAGGGCAGAGCAGAAATGCATCTTCATGTCCCCAGAGACCCCTTTCTCCTTCCAACTGTCTTTGAAAAGTGTATGAGTCCATGCTGAGATGGGTACTTGCTGAGAAATACTTTTGCAGGCTGTATCTCCCTGACCATGCCCTGTGGAAAAGGACAGGCTTTTCAGAGAGCCAGCAGCCTGCCAACAGAGCAGCTCCAGTGGCTCGAGCTGCACACTCACTTGAGGATCCCTGTCCTAGGAGAAATTCCCTTCCTGCTCCATGCCCTGGCACATCTTGGTGCAGTGAGTCTCTGATGCCCAATTCCCATAGCAGAAACTGAGTTCATTGGTGAGATTTCCTCATGGGGAGCACCCACGACTCCAAAAGCTGGGGTTTAAACCTGCTCATTTCTTTCCCAAGCACTGATGTTTAGAGTAGAGCTTTAGCGAACCTAAGAAAGCCAGGCACAGACCCAAACTCCATCATGCTGGATGCTGGATGAATTAGAGCAAAAAAGCTGCTCCAGAAATAAAGACTGGACATACAATGGTGTTTGACAGGGGGATGCAGTGATGTGATTATTTTCACTTTCAAACCTTATTAGATAAGACCCTGTAGCCTAGTGTGAGTCAAAAAGATGCCACAAGAAAGGAAGGAGAGGGAAGAATGAAGTTACCTCCATCTAGCTGGAGCATGCTTGGGCTGGCCAGGCTCACCATGAAGCGTAAGCCTGAGGCCGGGAGTCAGATCCAACCAAAGTGAGAAATGAAGTGCAACAAGTGGCATTACTACAAACAGAAGATGGGCTCCAGCACAGAACTCAGTAGCCTGGTGGAAGTCTGCGTGGACTGACACAAGGAGATCTCGCCATGTCTGAATGCTGAAGACCGAGCTAGCTTTGGTCCAATGAATTTTAAAGGACGTGATTTCAGCATTTTTGGCTCTTTTCTTTTTGATAAAAGATTCTTGCTGTTAAGTTACTGTCGTGATGTAACCCCAGCTGGCAACTAAGCACCTTGCAGCCACTTGCTCACTCCCCCCACACAGTGGGATGGCAGAGAGAATTGGGAAAAAAAAGTAAAACTCGTAAATTGAGATAAAGGCAGTTTAATAGGAAAGAAAAGGAAGAAAATAATAATAATTATAATAATAAAAACTACAACAACTATAATATAATAACTAGATAATTCAAAATGAGTGATGCACAAAGCATCATTCACCACTTGCTGACCAATGGAGGTTGTAGAGAGGTGGGGGCTGGTCTTTTCTTACAAGTAACAAGTGATAGGACAAGAGGGAATGGCCT